AAGAACAGAAAAGGGCGGAGTGGGTGGGTTCTTTTGGGCACGGCCGATCGGCTCGTGCCAAAATGGCCACGGATAAATGGCCTCAGGGCAGTTCTTACGATCGCAAAACTGATCCCCCAATTCCAGACCTACCTAGCCGATAATTAGGAGACACATATATATATATATATTACATATATACATATTGTATATATATATATAATCTGTTATATGTAATGTCTACTAACATAGAAAAACTTATATCCTATGTAATAGTAATATTCACCTCTTTGAGCTCCAGAAAAGCAAGCTGCACTCAGCATCCAGCGAGGCCAACTCCTGGAACCGCGGGATATTTGGCCTGGCATTGCAAATCGAGGCTGCGCTTCGAAGCATCGAGCACAATGCGAAGGCTCAGCGCCGTGCAGTTGCTGCAGCTGGTCCTTGCAAGCTCGGCCGCTCTCTTCTCCCAAAGACCCCGAATAAGGGAGATCGGATTTCTCCAACTCCTCTTCCCGTGCCTACCTCTACCGGAGCATTCGATTGTCCGAAGCAGGCAGCGGCTTACCAAATGAAGACACCAGCAGGGCGCCTCCGCTCTGCATCCATCGGAAGATCTTTTGCTCTAAGGCGGACATCCTGTTTAGGGTTTAGGGTTGGAAGGTGATTCGAAGCGACGAGCAGGAAAAGGGAGATTGCCTGCCTCGTCAGAAGAGGATCCAACTTCTGTCTCTGCGCTCCCTGCAGCGGCGGATAGCACGCTTTGAACCACACTCTGCTATTCCCCAAGACCATGCTAAAAACTTAAAACCTTTTTCGGCTGCTTCGTTTCGCACAGTGCGTGCTTGCGGCACTCCTCGACACAGTCAAGGCTCTTCTGGTGCAGCTAGCTTCCTTGGAAGCTCAACCATCCCGACTTTTCCGCTTTGTTCCGATGCACTGCTATCTCCTCGCAACTCCGCGTCGACGCTCGACGAACGAAGCGTAAGCAACTCGGCATCTTCATTCGGAAACTGGGGGCTAACGAGCAGAAGTTCATCAGAATCCGATCTGCCAACCCGATGGGCGCAAGTGGTGAAGCGGCTCGCCAAGATCCAGTGCGAGTTTCCCCTGACGTGGGTCTCGTTCCAGCTCAACCACAGTTTTTGGATGGATCCTCGTTGGGCAGCACTGCCTGGCAGCAAAATCCAACCAGATCAGCGCCCCGAACCCTGCGGCCCTACGACGCTCCAAGACTCCAAGCGTGCCGGCTGGTACCTGTGCGACTTTGAGCAGTCTCCGCAGAACTACTGCGTGGTCGCGGATCCCAGCTTGGTCAAGTGGGTTCTGCAGCGCATCAGGATTATGATTATGTGTCTGTAGACTTGCAATCGCGCTCCTGTTACATTGTTGAACGGCTCTGCAGACAAGGCTCTGCGTTCGTCTTGTTCAGCCGCTCGGCCACATTTTGCACCACCGATGGACCATTGCGATTGCCCTTACAGATCTTGCCATATGCTTGCATTTGTTGCCGTGTGAGCGCCCACCTCAACAAGGTACGGGACGTCTCCTTGCCACTTCCTCGAGCCCATCACGATGTCCATATACGCCTCTGGCAGACTAGGGCCAGTCCGGGAAGGTCACTGGGCACATCTGGGCAGCAACTCCTCGCCCGCCGGCCTTGTTGGCCCGGACATACTCTCTTGACCCTGGGCTTTCTCTTCAACCCGGAGGAAAGCAAGCGAGTTATGCCATGGTTGAGGCTCCGGCCGATGCAGCCACAGAAGTCCTGAAGTTCAAAGAGCCCAGAAAACGCTGGGAAATGGCATCCTACAGTAGAGTGCGCATCTTCGTCTTCGTCCCAGCCTCGAGGGGTTGCGAGAGCTCCACGGGAACACGATCGTCAAGCCGCTCGCAGAATCTCCGAACCTTCTTCCAACCCTCTTCCAATCTTCTCGACTTTACATCTTATTGGGGTCCCTCATAAACTCGCAAGCATAGAAGATATACCCCGAAACCCGAAACCCTATTCTAACTACCCGGCATCCCAAACGAGGAACTGCAAGGCTCGCCTGCTGGCAGGCCTCCTTGGCTGCCGACTCAGACAGCAAAACCTTTCGTCTCACCAGGAACCCAGGAGCAAGCACCGGGTCTCTCGGAGCTTGAGCTTTACCCTGCCTTCCGAACGTCGGGATCAAACTTCTCTGCCACCTCTGAGAGCTTACCGTCTTGCAGCCACCTGCGAGCAGCAAGGAAGGAAAGGTGCAGCTTCTACGCTGCTGGCTCCTCAGCCACTGCGAAGCCAGGAACTTCGAGGAGTGGATTATGAAGCCTGTCACAGAGACGTGTCCCCAAGAAGCGGCCATCACGGCCCATCTCATGATTGCCTTCGGCTGTTTCAAAATCGTCTCTGGGGCGCCAGGTCAGCTTAACCTCCGGCTGGTCCTGGATGCACGAACAGGCCACCACTCTTTTCCCCGAGCTCTTTAGATGTAAGGCTGCGGCGGCATCCGCTTGCGCTGGTCGACCCGCCTCACCAGAACAGAGACTGCCCTACACCCTAAACCCTAAACCCTAAACCTTAGACCCTAAACCCTATAAACCCTATAAACCCTATAAACCCTAAACCCTGTGCTTGCTGCTTGGTTCTTCCAAGACCCAGCACAGACTTCCGAGCCTCGGAGAAGTCGGACCTCGGCTCTCCGACTCCCAGCCCGAATCCTCTCCAAGCGAGCCCTCCAAAATATTATATTATATTATATTATATTATATTATATTAGATTAGATTAGATTATATTATATTATATTATATTATATTAAAACTCCATAAAAAGAAGTGAAACGAGAGGCTCAATGGCTGCGCAGGGTGTCGCAGACCTGCTTGTAGCCTTGCAGCAAGCCTCCATTCGGACACAAGAAGAGCCAGCAGAGGTCTGCCATGAAAATGAGAGAAGCGGGGCTGCGGCATATCCCCAGGATCCCGATCCGCTGTCATACCTCACCGGGCTTTGCTGTCCCAAACCCTCGCACAATCCAGCAATCGGGTCCCGACCAGGAGCCCCAAATGCTCCGATGGCCCACCGGCACGGCATCCTGTTATTACAGTACTTTATAGTATCTTACCTTATAGTACAGTATACATAGTATGGTATGTTGGTAGATGATTCATAGTATATACTTCTGTTTAAGGGTTCAGCAGACAGGTGTGGAAGCTGGCGAGATCTCCTCTGCATAGCGGGACTGCGCCAGGTGCTGGCCATCCGCCATGAAGGCACATGCAAAGATTGACTGTTCCACCTCGCCCTCGCCTGTTCCCGGGACGAAGCACCATAATGCTTGGACTTTGCGGTGCGTGTGCGGTGTGTCTGCAGCTACATGTGGCTATCCTTGGGCCAACGACCTCCGCGGTGTGCTCAGGAGCTCTTGCCACGACCAGGGCATTGGCACTCAAACCCTGAAGTTGCCTTCAGATCCCAAACCCTAAGCCCCAAACCCTAAACATCCTAAACCCTAAACGCCCTAACCTTGACCCTTAGGACCCGCCGGCCAGATAGACATCAATTTGGGCTGCCTTGGACGTGGTCTCGATCTTTGCCACCTGAGCCTTGGCCGCCTTCCATCACAGCTCTCAGTCTTCCGCATGTCGCGAACGCGTGCAAGCATGTAATGAAGACTTCTCAAGGAACCCAAACATCAGGGGGGTGGGAAAAAAAAAAAAAACACTCCACACCCCCGGGCGGCACCCTGATCTTGTCCGGGTTGGAATTGTTTCGCCTCAGAGGGGCGAGGATGAAGAAGCCATGTAGAGACGGGCGCTCCAAGAAGCCGGGACGGAGAGCCGAGGTACGAGTCTATCTCCTGCCGTATCTTGTCCAGAGTCTCCTGGAAATCAGTGCAGGGATGCGGCGTCCATGGAGGGAGAGCATGCAGCTGCGGTCCTTCTGATATTTCATAAGATCGGCATTGTGGTTGTGCGCAAAGATCGTCCTCAGGTTCTTGGCGGAGAGAGGGCGGGTAGAGGCCAGCATTGCAGGCACTGCAAGTGCTGAAAGGCCCAGCAGACAAATCATGTGCAGCCCATCAGCTGGTGCAGCTCCCCCTTGAGCTTACCAAGTTCCTCACGAAGATAGGTTTCACATGGGAGCTTCCGAAAATAAGGGGTACCGTATTTGGGGTCCTTCTAATAAGGATCCTACTATTTAGGGTACTATGTTAGGGTCCCCTATTTTCGGAATCCCCCACATGAACATCAGAGGCATGTCTTCATGGAAGTCGCGCCACCAAGGCCAGGCCTTGCCCCACTGCTGCTCAACCTTCGCCAGGGCCTGCACCACTGCTGCTTGCTCCAGGGCCTTGCACTTGCCACATCAGCGCAGTGAGTAGTATGACATCGCAGGTGCAAGATGGTGCACATTAAACCCTAAACTCTTAAGACCCTGCAGGCCTCCTGATTCGGCTGCACCTGCATATCGTCCAGCTGCTTAACGAGGCCGTCGAGTCCTGGGCCCCCGCTCACAATGAGACGAAGAGCCAGAGCTTGCCGTGTCCACTGGGCCCGAAGCGAGAATCCATCTCCTGGTGCGAATCAGCTTTGAATGATAAGCTTCAGGGCTTGAAGACTGATGGCATCCAGGGTCCTGCATGGCATGGTGCAGGAGCTTCAGCTCAGCCGTCACCTGGACTCAAACGGAAGAAGATCTTCACAAGATTGTAGCAAGAGCGAGAAGAGTAACCAAAAGCCAACAGAATCGCAGGCCTTCTGCTCAGACTCTTTCTTTGCTTGAAGCAACAGGGTCTGCACCTGGCATCAAGGTTCGGCTACAGGGTTGAGGAAGGGCTCAGGGTTATTGGATTTAGGAATTTGGGGATTGAAGTTTTGCGGTTTAGGGATAGACAACTCCCGGCCACCTGTTGTCCTATCTTGTTCGAGATCTCCTGCTTCACATCCGTCGTAACGTCCTCGACTCGCTTTGCATCCGAACTACGCTCACCAACTGACAGCATGACACAACACTTTGGAGCGTTCCACACGCACAGAGACACACTGCTGACTGACGTGGATGCGCTGAAAGTAGCACTCCTCGGATCGTGCGCCGCCTTGGCTTCTACGCAGGGAAGCGGCACTACTGTCGCGGTTTGAGATGCACATCTGCTAGCGTAGACAGCTCAGCACAAACTATTCTTCCAGTGCTACCAGCACCTTCTGGCTGTCGCGGCCTCGCGTGGTCTTGAACCCCAAAATATCCCAAAATGTTGCCCGCAATCCCAAACATTGAACAAACATCTTTGAACCCTAAACCCAAACCCTGAGTCCTCAGGACTGAGCCTTAATCACCAAACCCGTACCATATAACGCATAGTACTACATACATAGCATACTGCAGAATATGCTGTATTATTTTGTTTAGAACATGTAATACAGTTAGAACAATCTAAACGCTGAACCATCGAGCCCTCTGAGGCTGAGTCCGTTGAGAGCAGCACTCGGCCTCAGCTTTCGGAGGTTCTTTTTGAGCGTATAGATATCATATAGTAGATAGTACACTATGATATATATATATATTATTTATTTATTTATTTATTTATTTATATGTGCATGCATATATATATATTGTAGTATGTACATAGTGCATTGCATCAACTTCTTGCAAGTAAGGATGGAGTTGCTTGCACGCAGCTGCGGAAGCCGAAGGAGCGAGACAAGACATGACCCAGATCCTAACATAAATCCTCACATACTCCTAGAGGCACCGCGCATCCCCGCATGTCGAACCGTTCCGGGCTTCGGAGACTCACAAATCCATAAGAAAAATCCTAACCCAACCCTTATGGTCTAAGGCATCCCCCCTCCCTCTTCTCGAACCCTAGACCTCTAACCCCAAACCCTGAACCCTAAACCCTAAAACCCCTAAACCGCCAAACCCCCTAAACCCCTACAAACCCCTAAAACCCATAAAACCCCCGAAACCCCCAAAAGGATATGTGGGGGTCTGAGATCCCGGGCAAGCCCAGGGTCGGAGCCGGGGCGAGCCCAGGAGGTGCTGAAGCGGCTCAGGGCTGCTTCGGATTAGGGCTTTAGGGGATTAGTAGGGGTTTGGGGGTTTAGGGGTTTAGGGGGTTTGGGGGTTTCGGGGTTTTGGGGCTTTAGGGGTTTAGAGGCTTTGGGGGTTTAGGGGTTTAGGGGTTTAGGGGTTCAGGGGTTTAGGGGTTCAGGGTTTTAGGGGTTTAAGCTTTTAGGGTTTAGGGGTTTTGGGGTTTAGGAGTTTAGGATTTTTTTTGAGGGGCCTTTCGGTGACTGCACGAGTACGAGCGCCTCCAACTCTTTCGAGCAGGGTTTAGGGGTTAGGGTTTAGGGGGTTTCGGGGATTGGGGATTAGGGTTTAGGGGATTAGGGGACTAGGGTTGAGGGGATTAGGGGATTAGGGGTTTAAGGTTCAGGGTTTAGAGCTTCAGGATTAGGATCTAGGGTTTAGGAGTTGGGTTTTTTTTTTGAGAGCCTTTTTCCGTCTGCTGAGTCAGTAGTCGGAGAGCCCGATTGGGCAGGCCTACATGCCGAAGGTTTAAAGTTTGGGTCGGATTTAGGGCTTAAGGTTTAGGATTTAGGATTTAGGATTTAGGCTTAGGCTTAGGGTTTAGGGCTTTGGGGGCGTGGAGGTTTTATTTTCGGACGTCATATAAGTGGCTCTTGTCGACTTGTTGAGATCCTTTGTCAGTTTGGCAAGTTTTGAGGACTATGACCTTAAGAGCTTGGGTGTTCTGGTGTAAGGTGCAGAATGGATTTGAGATGGAGTTGAGACTGTCGGGTATTCACGGATTTGGTTCCGGTATCAGGCTCTAGAACTTAGGATTGAAAAGTTCACTGATTCAAGGACTTCCGGTGTTTCGGATTCGGGCTAAGGCAAAGGCTTAATTGAAAGTCTAGGGCCTAGTTTAGGGTTTACGCTTCAGGGTTGAGGGTTGTTTCGTGCTTTGCTGCCTTTAAGGGTCTGGAAGCAGCGGTTGGCGAATGGCATTTCTTCAATAAATCCTGAACCCTAAACCGCCTAACCACGTAACCCTAAATCAAACCCTAAACCCCCAACTCCTAAACCCTAATCCCCAAAACCCTAAACCTAAATCCCTAAACCCTCAAGGGCCTAACGTTTCGGGTTGTTGCGACTCACGCGGGAGCACCCTCCGGCCTGGAACGGTCCCGGTCATCCTGGAAGCAGACGAGAATTTCGCTGTCAGTTGAGTGTGTAGTCTCTTTGTGTGTAACTTTAGAGGCGCATCATCACCGATATACGCCGCTAGATAGGTCTGTAGTTTTGCTTTCCGTAATATCTGCTTGCTGTAGGTATGGACTGTTTTCGGTGCAACAGCACCTCGGACTGTGTAAAAGTATATGGGCACGGGAGCAAAGCGCCGTATTGCTTGAGCAATCCTGCTTGTCAACGGCTTCGGTGGAAGCAGCTCCGGATGCACCTGGGCGGTGCGGATCTACTGACAGTCACGACAAGCATGCGTGACAAACAAGATTGGGGTCTAAATCCATGGAGACGTCGCATGACACATCTGAGCTTCGAGCGGTAGCGGAAATTTCGCAGCGCTAACGCGCTGTGGAACTGAAGGTAGCAGTTACACGCTACTCAGCGTGGGAAGTATCTTGGTGCCCCGGGAAAGCGGTTGTTGGATGATCTTAATTTGGAGGCTGTGCCTCCTGTCTGGACTGCAGAACAGAAGGGACCGAACATGATATGATGGGAAGTCTCAACAGGCGAACCACTGTTGAGATGCCTACGGCTTGAGGTGGCAGGATGCGGCAGGAACATGATGCAACCATGCCTGAACACAGCTCCCACGCCTGTGAAGGATTCCATGAAAGGAACAGATGCAGCTAGCTGGGTAGTTCTCCAGATCCCCCAAATAGTACGGCAACGTTATAACAAGGACTCTAAAACGGGACCCTAACTTAGAGAACTACCCAGCTGAAAGATTACTAGCACCAGGTCCTCGCCGACATCCAGCTCCTGCGCACGGTCTCAGACATGGTTTTTGGCCCTGCGCGGCACTCCTTGGGCCTCGCAGCCTGTCTCAGACCAGGCTTTGGAGTGTGGCGACGGCCTGAGCAAGGAAGTTTTTCAAAAAAGCCAGGGCTTCGAGTCTCAACACCCTACATGAGGTTTTGATTCTTCGTAGAACCCTTATGCGCATGACCAGGCGCACGATGATGGTGATGGATTCTGTTTAATCCTATTTTATTGCTACAGTCCTAGCTATATGTCTAATGACTCTTCGCGGTGAGCATAGTTGAGCAGCATCCTCGTTCTTACGAAAATTAAGGTCCTGACCATGGTAGCACTATCAGTATCTCTCTGGCAAGTCCCGACCCTAGGCCCTAAACCTTCAGCCTTCCTAAAGCCTAAACCCTAAACCCTAAACCCCTAAACCCTTAAACCCCTACACCCCTAAACCCTCAATTCCAAGACCTACCTAAGGTCGTGGCATTCCCAGCTCGGAGTAGTTCTCATCTGCATCTGCGGTAGTGGACATTTGGGAGGCCTGGCTCGGCTCTGGCCCCCTTGAAACATAGGGTTTAGGGGTTTAGGGTTTGGGCTTGGGGTTTAGGGTTTAGGGCCAGCTTAGGGTTTAGGGGCTTTCAGGTTTCGGGTTTAGGGGCTTTTGGGTTTACGGCACGTCCGCAGCCAGCAGCAGAGGCCTCTACCGACGTCACGGAGGGAGCCTTTCCCGCTTCAGACCTGCGGTCGCTCAGATACCGCGGGCCGCGCTGGCTGACACGCCGACAGTTTGTGTGCTTGTGCCGGTCATCCAGTCTTCTGTCAGTGGTGTGGTGAAGGCTGGTTCGTCCGTCGGGCAGCAGTCATATCAGTCACGTGACACAGGCCGCTCGCGACTTGACCATGGTAGGATTGCTGAACCGTGAGCCTCGGCGATCTAGAACTGGGACTCGCCGTCGGGGCGTCTGTCAGTCGGACAGACTTGCTGTGCAGATCTTGTGAGCAGGGCCGAAAAAGCACTTCCAACAGCTTGCGTGATGATGGCTTGGCCATGCAATTCTTCGATCTTTGAATTTTCGCCCCGAGCCTGGAAGCCAAGTTGATGAAGATAACAGATCCACATCCTCCCCTGTCACAGGCTGACTGCAACACGCGGCCACCGCCGGAGCTGAACGTTGAAGTGGCCTATGCGATGTGCCGCGTTCAGCATGGCCTCGGCACAGCACTGGTGTCGTCGACAGCTCTTGGCACAGAACGCAACGAAGAGAAGCGGCCGACAAAATGGGAGCAGCCACGAGCAGTGATCATCGTATTACTGCTGGCTGAACTTTTTTGAAAAGGAGCTTTTACAGTTAAGGACCAACAAGACAAGAGCCTATACAGAAGGTATACTCGCAAGAATCTAAACCTGCCGCCCAGGGTCTATCCATTGAAAGACTTCGGCTTCGACCTCCGCCTCCAGTCGCAGCCTCACGGAATTGAAACTGTGGCCCCTCACTAGTGAGCAAGTGCTGTAGCAGGGCAGGTACTACCTGTCTAGGACGACTGCAAGCACGACATGCTGTATCGATACGGAGAACTCTTCACAAAATCTCGAGCGCTTTTCCCCGGAGTGTTCCTCTG